CGCCGGTGGACGGTGCAGGGAGGACTGCGGGGAGCGGGCCAAGCCCGGTGGACCGGTTGTTTCAGGCCAAGAGGCGACCCTCACCTCCCCGTTCCTTTGCCTGGCTCACCCTCCACCACCGCCCGCAGGACACCCCCGAGCCAGGTGCAGGTGCTGCGCACCCCCAACCCCGACACCGGGAGGGTGGCTCCGCCCAAATTCCCGGGGTGAGAGAACTGGGTACCTGCTGCCGAGACTGGCGAAGCCGGTGCCGCGGCTCATGTGCATACCTGTGCCCAACTTTCTCGGCCTGGAGAAATCTTCCGGGTAAATGTGACCCCGGGAAAGATGATGCACCCCCAATACAGGTGGTCTCGCGGATCTGCTCTTGATAACTGCAGCCCGAGGAGATACCAGGGAAACCAAACAAGGGTTTAGGACCAGCTCCACAGGGAAGCGGGGATTCGGAAGGGGCCAGGAGAATCTGGCACCAACGGCTTTTCTGCATTTCCAGTTGTCTCCAGCCCCCCACCTCATTCCTGTCTTTCCCCCTCTTCCTACAGATCTGCTCCTTCCTCGAGGTGGCCGCCACGTGCAGCAATGACTAGCCTCCCAGTCACACCTTCTCCAGGTCCTCAAGGTGCCCATCCGCTTGCGGCAATGACTAGCCTCCCAACCACGCCTTCTCCAGGAGGTAGGTGAAGGCCTTTTCCCGTTGGTTGGAACGGTAGACACTTTCTCGACATCCTCACCCCAGCCCAGTCTTTGAATGCCCTGAGGCCTCAGGCCAGAGGAGAGGACCTCTGGCTGCCTCAGCCCTGAAAGCTCCTGGGAGAAAGCAGAAGGCAACTAGGGTGCACTTTAGTGCCATTTGCATCTAAGTCTCCTGGGCTGGGCCAGTTCCTGGCACTACCACTTAAAGCTCTGTGACACGGAGCGAGTTCTCTAACCTCTGAGCTCCAGTTTCCTTATTTGTAAAATGGGGGGAATAATACCTATCTTTTGGGGCTATTTGTGAGGGTTCAATAAGACAACCTATATAAAACACCTAGTGCAGTGTCTCCGATCTAATAAGCTCTCAATAACATTGATGATGATGATGATGATGATGATGATGATGACGACGACTAGGTGTTTGTTAGAAACCCACCTTTTCCTGGAAAGGAATTCTGCATCTTTCTAATTCCACTCCTCTGGTGACACACTCCAGTATCAAAAACCCATTGTTCCTGGAGTTATGCTCTCATCACTTGGAGAATGGATTCCCACCAAGCTGAGCTGCTTGTGAGATCATATATTCATTGATTACTTTCATTATGTGCTAGTTAGGTTAAGGGAGGAGTAAAGGCTTGGTTGGCCCAAACACCTTTGTTTTCATATACACAGTTTCCTTTATCGTTAGGACAGGCGTTCTCTGTTTTACTGATGTGGAAACGGGTGCATGAGAACCCCAAGGAAAGCTAAAACTATGTCCTCGGTGGTGGGTGATGCACACAATTCAAACTGTTAGTTGTCTGGTGGGAGAAATGGGTAGAAGTTTAGATTGGTTAGCAAAGTCTTCGTGAGTGGGGGAGAGGCGGAGCCCTTACCCTTGAAGAATGGGTATGGCAGAGTGGGGTATAGACAGTATTCCGACGGAGGTAGTACCATGTGTGAAACTGCATTTCCCTGAAGGGTGTTCTGAAAGAGAGAAAGAGCGGGCAGAGGACCCCCATAGGGAATCGACATGATGCTTCGGCAGCTAGCTGAGCGATTAGCACTTGGGTAAAAGGGGAGGTATTTACATTCCTTTTCTCTTTTTTTTAAATTTGCGATAAATTACACATAATATGTGTTACCATTTTTTGGTGGACAGTGTAGTAATATTAACATTCACAGTGCTGTGCAACCATCCCTACCATCCATCTCCAGAACTTTTCCATATTCCTAAACTCTGTATTCATTAAACAATAGCTCCCCATTCCCTCTCCCCCCAGCCCTTGGTAACCACCACCATTATACTTCCTATCTGTATAAATTTGACTAAGTACCTTATATAAGTGGAATCATATAACATTTGTCCTTTTGTGTCTGATTTATTTCGCTTAGCATAACATATCCAGGTTTCATCCATGTTGTAGCATGTGTCAGAATTTCTTTCCTTTTTAAAGGCTGAGTTATATTATTTATATCATTTTGTTTATCCATTCATCTACTGATAGATACTTCTGTTGTTTCTATTTTTTGGCTATTGTGAATAATGGTGCTATGAATATGGGTGTACAGATATCTCTCTGAGTCCCTGCTTTCAATTTTTTTTGGTATATATACCCAAAAGTGGAATTGTTGAATCATGTAGTAATTCTATGTTTAATTTTTTTTGAAGAACTGCCATACTCTTTTTCTTTTTTAAAATATATTTTTATTGATCTCAGAGAGGAAGGAAGAGGGAGAGAGAAACATCAATGATTAGAAAAATCATTGATCTGCTGCCTCCTGCATGCCCCACACTGGAGATCAAGCCCACAACCTGGGCATGTGCCCTGGCCCGGAATCAAACCATGACCTCCTGGTTCATAGGTCAATGCTTAACCACTGAGCCACGCTGGCCAGGCTGCCAAACTGTTCTTCACAGTGGCTGCACCATTTTACATTCCCACCAGCAGTGCCCAAGAGTTCCAATTGCTCTACATTCTCATTACTTTATCTTTTTATATAGTAGCTATTTTAATGGGTGCGGAGTGGTATCTCATTGTGGCTCTGATTACATTTCCCTATGATTAGTGATGTTGAGCTGTATATCTTCTTTGGAGAAATGTCTAGTCAAGCCCTTTGCCCATTTTTTAATTGGCTTGTTTTGTTGTTCTTGTTGAGTTGTATATTTACATTCCTGACCCAACTAGTGACATCAACTAGTGATGTGGTATTTTAGGACGTATCATGCAGTCCCCTACCCACTGGGTCCAAGCAAAGATCAAGTTCAGAGACAGTACGGGAGAAATCACAAACAGTGAGATCATTGCGGGTCTTGTATGTCTCTTCCCCATCTCCCACCTCCGTCCCTCCCATCCTTTCCCCTAGTCCGTCTATAAAGATCTCCTGAAGGAACTAACCTCTTGGAGTGCTGAAAGTGAGGGCCACAGCCCTAGCTGGTTTGGCTCAGTGGATAGAGCGTCAGCCTGCGGAGTGAAGGGTCCGGGTTCAATTCCAGTCAAGGGCACATGCCTGGGTTGTGAGTTTAATCCCCAGTAGGAAGCAGCCAATCAATGATTTCTCATCATTGATGTTTCTATCCCTCCCTCTCTCCCTTCCTCTCTGAAATCAATAAAAATATATTTTTTTTAAAAAGAAGAAAGTGAGGGCCACATTATTACTTTCATGGGCTCTTGGCACTTTTGCCTTTGTGGGCTCATTCCTCCATTTAAAAAGATATATATAGCGGGTTTGGCTCAGTGGATATGGCCTGAGGACTGAAGGGTCCCAGATTTTTTTTAAAATATATTTTATTGATTTTTCTACAGAGAGGAAGGGAGAGGGACAGAGAGCTAGAAATATCGATGAGAGAGAAACATCGATCAGCCGCCTCCTGCACACTCCCCACTGGGGATGTGCCCGCAACCAAAGCACATGCCCTTGACCGGAATCGAACCTGGGACCCTTCAGTCCACAGGCCGACGCTCCATCCACTGAGCCAAACCAGTTAGGGCAGGGTCCCAGATTTGATTGCAGTCAGGGGCACGTGCCTGGGTTGCAGACTCAATCCCCAGTAGGGGGTGTGCAGGAGGCAGCCAATTGATGATCCTCTCTCATCATCATTGATGTTATCTCTCTCTCCCTCTCCCTTCCTCTCTGAAATCAATAAAAATATATTTTTTAAAAAAGAAGAAGGTTATCATCTTTAAAAAAAAAAAAGATATATATCATTAGAGTGTTGGCCCCTGGACTGAAGGGTCCTGGTTTTGATTCCAGTCAGGGGCACATACCTGGGTTGCATGCTCGATCCCTGGCCCTGGTCAGGGCCTGTGCAGGAGGCAACCAATCGATGCCTTTCTCTCACAGAGATATTTCTCTCTCTCTGTCTCTCCCCCTCCCTTCCACTCTCTCTAAAAATCAATGGAAAAATAGCCTCGGGTGAGGACTATCAAATAAACAAAAAAGATATATATTAAAAATTATATTTTACAACTGTGCTGGTGTAAGGAAAAATATAATAATATTAAAGTTGTACGTATAATTAATAATTAATTGATAATAACAATACTACAATTTCCTTGACCTACATGTTCAGTTTTTTCCTGTAAT